CTGGGAGATGAAAGATGACAAACAGGAAGAAGGAACTGAAGAAAACCTAAAGAAGAAATCTCCCTCACCCCCATACAAGGCAGGCTCATCAACCAGCAGGATCTCTGTCTCTCCCTCCATTCCCCAACTGCTCCAAGAACAGCTAAGGTAGGGAACAATGGACACAACACAGAAGCTACAAATTATATTTTTCTACCTTTACCACTAACCAAGATATTACAATCAATTATTATGTTTTAAAAATTATAAAAATGATTTTTAAAATTAGCTTTTGGAATGCTGACTTAAGTCATCTAATAACATTGGTATGCTTTTATGGTTTATGGTTTGCAAATACTGCTTTTACTCTAGGCAAATTTATTTTGGCTCTAGGCATTAATGGGATTTTATATCTTATTTAAGGGGTATAATATAAATAACTAGCCACAAAATTAGTAAAAATTTGAACCTTATTCATGGTTCATTAAGTCTTAATTGCATAAAAATATTTATGTAGACACAAAACAGGTTCGTTTTAGTTTATGTTTAAGATAAGTCAAATAGAAGAATCTCCCATTTTCATTTATTTTTGTTTCTTTTATAATCACAAATATATCATTTAAAGTTTGTATCATGTAATACTTCTCAAAACTCAGATTCTAAAATAAACATTAGCTTAATTTCCCATGTATGTCTAAGATTAATATCAACCTTGTTTATTTTATAGTGTGAACTTTATTTACACTAATCAGCCATCAAAACTTGACAAGCAGAACTGTTAAGTCTGACTTTCCTAATATAGATATGTTGTCATATTAATTCAGTGTACCCCATTAGAAAAATTAATTTGAAAAATTTAAGTTTGGAGAAACAACAAAAACAGAGAACATTTCAGTAGTGATCTTTCAAGTTCTATTCCAGTGCTTCAGTGAGGAGATAATACCAACACAAAAGAGAATAATAGCAAAAGCAAGTTTACCAAGCAGTACAAACCTTTTATTGGTATAATTTGTCAATTTTTTTAAAAAACTTAAAATTCAAAACATATGTCCCTTCACATGTCATTTTCTGACCAAAAATTTATTACAAGAAGATTTTTTTAAAAGAGAAGAAGATCAGTAAGGTATTAGGTTTTGGCAAATAAAGGCTTTTTAAAAGAAAACTTAAATGAAATGAACCCAGTAGGTCTGCTTTCTGTAGAGTATGAGTAACTCTTATGTTGAAATACAAGGTAAGGCATAATCCCATAGGCCCTATTTACTCTTCTTCCATTAGAAGGAAAATGTACAATATCATATAAAGTCTATATAGCTTATATTTTTGGAATACTGGTAAAGACTGATATAAAATTATTTAAGGAAGGAAAAAAAAAAACCTATGCCAGGTGAGTGATATAGTTCATTTTATTGTTTTGATTCATAATTATTCCAAAGAAAAAGTTGTGGGATGGTGAGGCAGGCTCATCAGCCAGGAGGAAGAATCCTCTCTGCCTCTCTCAATCTCCCTTGAAGAAGGGAAAATGTAGGCAGGTGAGTAGAATGTAAATAGAAAGGAAGGTAGAGATTGAGACTAATGTGTTTAAAAACTTATCTTAAATGAATACATATCCCCATGTAATGTTCTTCTGTTGGGAATTTTTAGAAGGTGTTTTTAACAATCAGCTGTATATATCTTTTGCTTTTAAATATGTTTGCCTCATTGTAACAAACTACAATTTAAAAAAGATTCACACTGCAAAAAAGTAACCATATATTATACAGTACAGAAATACAAGCCAGAGAATCACTAAGAGGAGAATCAAAGGAAATCTTGTATTGGTCCTCTAAATGCCACATCTACTACACTACTGTGGATAATGGAAGATTGGAAGTGGATAGCGCATATGAAAAGTACCAATAGGAGCACCAGTATTGATTCAGGGTATAAAAATACCGTAATAGTAATACTTTTAGTTTCACAGTTGTTTAGAATCTGCTTTATTTTTAAGTCAAAAAAAACTTATTTACATGTTTATTTTTCTATTTAATCTTGTGATTATAAAATGGAAACACTTTTATAAATGTGCTGTAACATGAAATGAGTTTATTTGCCACTTAATCAAATAAGAAATTTACTAGTTTATAGTAAATCAAAAATAATCATTAAAGAAATGGGAAAAGATATACAAAAATATTCTGGCATTGTCTTATAAAACTGTTTAATTCATAGCAATAACCTCTTAAACACGGTAATCACTTCACTATTCTGTATCTCACAGGTAATGTCATTCCTTTCAAAGAATCTATTTATTTTATCAGCATTGAGATTCTATTTACATAATAAAGAGCAATGCAGAACAGCCCAACCACTACTCTCAGAAAACTAAATATTCTAATGTTTTTAATATATATATATATACACATATGTATATATATAT